TTACGCGGCGATACTTCGAAATAACAGTTATACAGAAGTTCAGTTTACGATAACATTGGCAGAAAAAAATATTACATAACAGCGATAACTTTTCATTCATAAACATCTATTCAAGCTGAGGTTCATTCCGTTACCGCTCGGTCAGACCAGACGTGTATATTTAGACCGAGTGACTTTTTTCGTCGCCTCGAGTATTTTGGTTGCAAAATACCGTTTCAACTCAAAGTGAGAATGCCAACTGGATAATTTATGCTGTCATATTATGCTCCTAAATTAATGTGTAATAGAAATAAATGAAATAGGGAAATATATGCGTGTGTATTTTTGAATATATTATGTTAAAGTATTTTATATATTTTTACGACACTAATAATTATTATTTAGTACTAACAATAATAAATTGATATAAAAACTTAGATTTTTTAAGAAAAAAGTCGGTATTATATTGTTAATTTGTTTGTGAAAAATGATTGGGATAATAATTTCAATCACATGTCTTTCTATATAAATTTATTTTCCCTCAGTTGTTGTGACCCGGATTTTTCAGATAAATCCAGATAGAATTGTCGACTTTCTGGAAATTAGTAACTTACTCGTCAGGTTATTAATTTTGTCAACTAAATCACTCGGACACATATTTAAGAGTCCTAAAGGTGTGATCTCATTGTAAAAATGTAAATCAGATTTACGTGTTGGCATTAAAATAGTCATTCGCTAAACAACTGTCAACCAGGCAATTTGTTTATATACAATCATCTTGTAAATATTACGTGATACGTTATTTGTACATATTTTTAAGAAGATTTCGCTCACGAAGGAACAAAAATTAAATACAACTTAAAGTTTATGGATATAAGTGCAGAAAGCTGGCATTTTTAAGCAATAAGTTTTAGAAACTTGAAAAATCCACATCTGATGTTAACATCCAGTATGTATGCTAACTTGTCATGGGTAAATAAATCTATACAATGAGAGTTTTAGTTATTATCATCATCAACAGCCTTTAATAGTGCACTGCTGGACATAGCTCTCTCCTGAAAAAGGAGGTTATGGCCTAACATATCACCGCTAGCTAGACGGGCTAGTTAGGGTTTGTGCCAAGTTTGGATTCTCTTTGCAGTGCTGTTCTTACGACACCCACCTAACCCACCACCATAACCTAACCTAACACATTAAAAAAAAACCTCGTGTGTTGTAAGCCAACATGGTCTCTCGAGCATTTACTAACTTTTGGTAACGTTCTTTATTGATTAACTTCCCTTGTATCCCCGAAAGGGAAATTAGAAACATATTAAACATCTACATTTTGCCAACTATCATTTTGATCTCACTCATAAAATGGGGAACAGGAGCAGGCCTATTAAAGACGGGAAACTTCAGTGTTATGGAAGAAGGAGGTAGGTAGATAACAGGCAATAAAAAGCAAGAGAGATAGAGAAGAATGAAAACAATATCTTGAGCAGGTCCAAACACTCTATCTATCTACATCTACTATCATCTGCAGCCTTGCATAGTCCACTGCTAGACATAGGCCTCTCCTTAGAAAAGAGGTTTTGCCTTTCTTTACATCGCTGGCCAGACGGGTTGGTTTAGGGTTTGTTTTCCCTGGCCGGAGACGACGGGGAGCACGGGGAGGACAATGTTCCGCCCGTCCGGGATTCGGAGGTAGGGGCGGCTGTTCTACGGATCCGTTCCAAGAACACCGCCCCTGGGCCAGACGGGGTACCGGCCCGAGTGCTGGCCCTGGCCCTCAACCACATGGCAGACCGCCTCGGGGAGGTGTTCGACGCTAGCTTGGCGTCGGGACGCTTCCCTGAGTGCTGGAAAAGCGGGAAGCTGGTCCTATTGAGGAAGCCGGGACGGCCAGCCGATTCGGTCGCGGCCTATAGGCCCATCGTGCTGCTGGACGAGGCGGGCAAATTGTTTGAGAGGGTTCTTTCTGCCCGCATCGTCCGGCACCTCTGCGAGGTGGGCCCCGATCTGTCGGACGCCCAGTTTGGTTTTCGGGCGGGGCGTTCGACAGTCGACGCCGTGTTGCGCCTGAGGGCCGTGACCGAAGAGGCCGTGAGCTGTGGCGGCGTGCTGTTGGCGGTGTCACTGGACATCGCCAACGCATTCAATAGTCTGCCATTCAGCTGCATCAGGGAAGCACTCCACTATCATGGGGTGCCAAAGTACCTGAGGCGGCTGGTGGCAGACTATTTAGAGGAGCGTACCGTCGTGTACGAGGACCGAGACGGTAATCTGAGGTGTCGGCCCATGTCGTGCGGTGTTCCACAGGGGTCTGTTCTTGGACCCCTCTTGTGGAACATAGGGTACGACTGGGCCCTTCGCGCCGATTTCCCCCCCGGGCTGGGTGTAATCTGTTACGCAGACGATACCCTCGTGACAGCCCGGGGGGCAAACTTCCAAGAGGCGGCGCGCCTGGCCACAGGGGGAGTCTCCCTGGTGGTCGGGCGCATTGAGGCGCTGGGCTTACGGGTGGCCCTAGATAAGACGGAGGCCCTGTTATTCCATGGGCCCCGTCGTGGTCCACCCCCTGGCGCCTCAATAGTGGTCAACTCGGTCCTCGTACCGGTTCGGGCCCAGATGAAATATCTGGGCCTGATCCTCGACGGGAGGTGGCTCTTCGACGAGCACTTCCGACAGCTTGCTCCAAAGCTGGTCGGCGCTGCGTCCGCCCTAGGGCGACTTCTGCCCAATATGGGTGGACCCAGCGTCGCGACAAGACGGCTGTACACGGGGGTTGTCCGGTCAATGGCACTGTACGGTGCACCGGTGTGGGCGGCGGCTCTGACCGCCCAGAATAGGGTACGCCTCTGGCGCCCTCAGAGGGTAATGGCGGTCAGAGCCATACGCGGTTACCGCACCGTTTCGACGGAGGTGGCGTGCGCGTTGGCCGGAACTCCCCCGTGGGATTTGGAGGCGGAAGTGCTCGCCGAGGTTTATCGGCGAGTGGCTGACTACCGGGCGGAGAGCGGATTTCGCCCTCCGCCCGAGGATGTGCGCGAGTGGCGCGAAGCCGCTCGCCGAGCCACGATGGCTCGTTGGTCGTTCCGGCTGGAGACTCCACGCGCTGGCTTCGCCGCCGTGGAGGCTCTCCAGCCGGTCATCGCCGAGTGGGCAGGGCGGCAGCACGGGACCCTTTCCTTCCGGCTGACGCAGGTGCTTTCCGGGCATGGTTGCTTCGGAAAGTACCTGCACACGGTCGCTAGGAGGGAACTGAGTCCCGCCTGCCACCACTGCGACTGCAGTGAGGACTCGGCCCAGCACACGCTGGCGGTCTGCCCCGCATGGGCGGCGCAGCGCCGGGCCCTCACTGCAGTCATCGGAGTGGATCTCTCGCTACCGGCCGTAGTACGCTCCATGGCCGGTAGCGACAGTTGTTTTACCGCGGTCGCAACCTTCTGCGAGGTAGTAATCTCGCGGAAGGAGGCGGCGGAGAGGGCCCGGGAGGACGACCTCCACTCGGACCCGATCCGCCGCCGGCGAACCGGGCGGCGGAGGCCCGCCTACCACAGCCTCATGCCGCCCTGAGTGTGGCCGCGGGTGGACGGGGTGGGTTTCCCCTCCACCCGCATTAGTTGGCCAGCCGCGAGGGGGCGGCGTCCGCGTGTGCCGGACGTCGCCTAAAGAGAGGAACATCTACAATGAGACGGAGCCCGCACCAGGAGCGGGCTGGCGCTAGGAGGGGTCCGGATGTCTTAACAACAGCTGTTCCCGGATCCCTCCTGTTACAGGCGCAGAGTGGCACACCGTGTGGTTTTAGTCGGTCCGAGTCCGACACACCACCCCGCCGCAAACCCCGGAGGGGTGACGGTCCGAGGGGATTTCCACACGTTAAAAAAAAAAAAAAAAAAAAAAAAAAAAAAAAGGGTTTGTTTCAAGTTTTCCTTCTCTTTGCAGTGCTGTTGTCGTACATAGTTTTCTCCCTTAGTCAGCTTTTACGACACCCACGGGACGAATAGGGGTGGTGCACTATCTAATATATTCTTAATCCGTTGCCACACAGATTATAGAGTACTAGACTCTATCTAATGAAAGATAGAAATGACTGACTCAGTGATTTCAGTAGTCATATGTTATGGCAGGTTATACATGTGCGTATATCCCACTGCTATAAAGCCTGCAGTATAAATAAGATTGTTGACCTAGAATTGAAGAAACTAGATTTTAGACTTGAAACATCTAATGCAGAGGCACAGAAAAGCGTGGTTTGTGGTGACGCGTCGCCTCGGCATGCGTCGCCACGCATGTGATAGTGTATGTAAATATTTTACTCGTTACCATAGCGGTCTTATAATCTTATCTTTCTATTTGTAATGTGTTTCGATTCAATTACGATTTCCTAGATATATTATACTTCTGTTACGAGTATAAACGATATTTATTTAAATTGTCAGAGTAAGTGGACACCCACTCTTCTAATGTTTGTATGAAAGCACGTAATGTCTCAATTCGAATATGCACTATGGGGAAAAGAAAGAACTATGGTACAGTCAGTAGAAAAGTTTAGATTGGAATTTTAGTTTTATTACTTGTTTGTGAAGACTTTTTTTAGAAAACCGCAAATGAAGCAAGATTTCAGAATTTTTAGAGTTTTTTTTTCTATAATTAATTAGTGTCCTCTCATTCTGATGAAGAATTAATGCAAATTTTCAGAATGGTTATAAATAGTAAATAAAGAATATAATAATAATAGTAAATAAGAAATTTGATTAAAATTTTCAGTGAATGTAACTAGGGGACAGGGTCCAATGATGCAGTAAGCAATGTTCTCACTTTGGTTACTCAAAACAACTTTTTTGTTTAAGGGTAATCAAAAATATTTCATGAAATGATTCCAAGTTACATGAATTAATCAATAATTAAATATGTAAAGTTATTATTTAAGAAAATTACTTTTAATGTTATGATTTATCCCGATTTTAATAGATAGTTCACAGACGCAAAACTTAGGATTTTAGCTCCAAATATCAGTAAATTGAACCGTATGCAAAATGAATCAGGAAAAATACAGGGTTGTAATTGTTAGACTCCGCCCCATGCATTTCCATATTTCCTCAGTGAACATTTTCCTTGCGGACGCTACGGGAGCGACGCCGACGCGCCGTCTCGACCGCGCTATTTCTGGCTGCGCCCGCCCAGCCAAGTTTATTGACACGACTTACCGCTCACTATACTGCACCCGGATTTTACTGCCAATACCTCACAGGCCGAAGTGCTTCGTCACGTGTCGCTGCCTACAGTGCTCAAGTGAGATGCTGAAATTGTACGTCAGTCAGGAGCTACTTGGAACAACTAAACCTTGCTGTTCGATGGTTGGTTAGCTTATTGCTCGTATAGTGTTTAGACCGAGACAGTACAACCACTGTCTAAATTAGTTGAAGTAAAAAAGGGAACTGTATATTTCTTGCTAGGATACTGCCAATGAAAATAGTATCTTGCGTCAAATCTGCTAAAGATCGCTATTGTACAGCATTTTATTTCATATGTTTAATAGAAATATCCCAAAATTTTGCTGTAGACATTTAAATTCAATGAATTATTTTCAAAATAGACCCCATATGGACTGCATTAAATTCATGTTACAAAATAAAGAGTTGGTTTGTCAACTAAAGTCAGTAGCTATTATATGCATGCGATTAAAAAGTTTTTAACTTCTGACATTTTGATATCAATTCCTAGTCTGTCGACACAGTGATTACGGTGACGTAATACTGCGTTTTTTTGTAACTCAAAAGAGCCGATGAGCATATCGTCATTCCACTTGACTTAACAACTTTACATAGTATAAAATAAAGTCGCTTTTCGTGTGCTGTACGCTTAGATCTTTCAAACTACGTAACGGATTTTAATGAGGTTGTCACCAATAAAGAAAGTGATCTAATGTATATCAAAATTGTTATTTCTACTATTCATTTTTCACGTCGTTGATAAATGAGTCCTTTCGTTCGGTGTCAACTTTTGGCAATGCTATTGTACGTACGAACGATACCGAAGTAAAGAATTCTGGGTTAAAGCGTTCATACAAAAAATCGCATGGCTACTTTGGTCCGTCTATAAGCTTGTGTAGAACGGAGATTCACGAATAACTGAAAGAAATCGGATGTTGGAAGTACTTATACACTCCCCAATAAAAAATACAAAAGAATAGAAAACTTCCTCCTTTTTTAAGTCGGTTACAAACTACAACATACCATTTGTATTCAACTTAAATATAATTAAGACTCAGAATAACTTCAAACAATGAACTCTGCCGTAATATGAAGCTGTTTTAATAATATCGAAGCGCAGTTATAACATAATTATGACGTCGGAACTGATCGTGCATTAACGCGTTAAAATTTTGCGATCGATGCGCGTGCGCAGCTGCGGTGAGCTGGTACCATCTGCCGTGCGCACGCGACTCCACTTCACGTCTGATAGAACGTCTGTTTACAAGCCGAAGTAGCTACTATCTAATGATTCAACGATTTTTATTAGAATTTTACAAGCGGAGTAATGAAATTTAACTTTTAACAAAAACGCATGTTTTTAAAATTAAATTCTGTTTAAAGAAACTTCGAAGATTTTAAATAAAAAAGAAATCTAGGTAGTAGAAAGTAAGTACTATTAGCGTATTTAACATGCTTTACACAGTGTGTACAAAGGTGGACTTAATTCTAAAAGCTTTCTCTAACGTAACGCGATGTACAAATAAGTGAAGGTGTATTAAAAATATACTACTGAGAGTGTTATATGAAAAATAGAATAAACATGTGAATATATACATTCATATATAAATATATATTATAAAACAATATTTACTACTTTTTATAAGCAGGCAGCCCTACCTGCAGCGTCTTGCCAGCGTGGTACAGCAGGCAAAAACCTTTCTAAGAAGAAGCCTATGTCCAGCAGTGGACTATTAATGGCTGTTAATGTAATGAACAAAGCCTAATAACTATAGTCACCAGGCAAACTGAATTATTTTTTACTTACTTAATTGTATAATAGTTTTATTTGTTTAATTCGACATAAATTCTGTATTACTACTTTAGTTCTGTAAATGTAAGTACGCTTATGTAGTAGAGTAATACAAGGAAAAAATAATTTAGTTGATATGGCAATTAGATTTGACTGCATTAATGGCGTATTACTTTAAGCGGTCGCCTCGCCGCCTACTGCGTTGAGTTCAGTGGGTTCGATCCCCACATAGGACAACACTTAGTGTGATTCACAAATTGTTGCTCTGAGTCTAGATGCACTTTGTATCCGTTTTACGTTTTTAAGTAGGTATATATAACTTTTATAAAAAAATGATGATGAATTCAATTTTCGGTTAACCTTTCAAATATTCCGTTACAGGTTAAAAACAAAAATTATTTATTTTTTAATTATAAAAAAAGGTATTTATAAAGGAGATGGGAGTATTAATTTTTAGGCGCTTTTTCTGTTAACCCTAACAATTACAAACATGACATCACACTACCAAATAAAGTTGCGTTTTAATCTCAACTAAAATTTAGTATTGAAAACTTACTTAGTCAGTTAAGTCATAGCTAAAGGTGTCTGGTCTAACATTGATGTCTAACATCGGTAGCTTAATCGTTCTCAGGTCACATATCTCCAACTTTTTAGAGTTTATATGCGTATTTTAAAGCAATTATCAGATCCTCGGAATATTCTAGAAAGGTTTGTACTACAGATTAGTAGGCAACGCTGTCTCTTAACTTTAGATGAAACACGTGCCTTCTTTTACAATTAATACTCGTCGTAAAACAAGCCTACTATAAGAAATATGTGCCTGCGCATGTTATGTAATAATTTGTTACAATTAATTAAAATAATTTAAGAATTTATTACAAAATTCTTTAATTAAAACTCAAGTTATTACACTAATTATAATAAGTTGCTAGCACGGACTGCTACTACTGCAATTTGTATGATATAAATTATGTATGTATTTTAAGAGCACGTGCTGTTTCATGTACTATCCGTATTCTAACAGTGTAACGAAAAACATAAAATTATTACATAGAGATGCGCAGACGCAGGGGGCGTGGCCACACCTGCGCCACCTGGCGGCGCCCTACTTGTACAAATCCAACGGGTTGGCAACGTTCGGGCTTGTTTATTTATTTATGTGCACTTTACTGAACTGTGTTATAAAATATTTAGGTGCGTGGTTTGTAAGAACTTTTGTATCTGATCTGTATCGTATGATCGTGTTCCTTCTTCCGCGGTTACTGGCAATTGCCATTGAAGTTTTAATAATAATATATAAAATAATAGAATATTTATTTCTGCTGATGATACTTTAGTGTAGTTAAGAATTACCTCAGCTTTGAAAATAGTCGGCCAATACATCTGCTAATTCCCTCCGACTACTGAAAACTAAAATTTTGTGACTAGAACATGTGTAATCATTTCAATCATCAACATTAACACTTCTTAAGGTTTGCTCAAACGCCATTTCCTATAGTGATTTTCTTTATAATAATAATGACCCTAACTCACGGCCGTCTGATCCCAAACTAGGCAGAGCCTGTGCTATGGTAACCAGACTGCTAATAAACAAACTTACATATTTCTAAATACATACATATTATAGATAAATTACAGCCAGACACAGTAGAACAAATGATCCGGCTTATCATACAATTAGTTCCCTTGGGTGGGAATCGAACCCACGACCTCCGACTTACCCGTCAGGGTCATTAACCACTAGACCAACAGACCCATTATATTTTCATAAACTTCTTTCACTACGTATATCGCCGGATCTTAACGAGGTACGTGGTTCGTTAAAGAGTCTGTCGACTGCTGACGCTGCATTGGAGCTTTTGCCAATTATACTTACTATAAGTATATATAAATTAGCTGAGACCGAACCGAACCGACCGAACCGAACCGCCTCCGCCGCGAACCTAACTGCCTACAGTTAGGTTCGGGGCGAAGGCGGTTCGGTTCGGAAATCGGTTCAGTGGTTATCGATTCCCCATATAAACTTCCACCCCCTTAATTCTTTAAGTCGTTTGTGTGGGATAAAAACTTCCTATGTCCTTTCCCGGGACTCAAACTATCTCTATACCAAATTTCATCTAAATCGGTTAAGCGGTTTAAGCGCGAAGAGGTAACAGATAGAGATACACTTTCGCATTTATAATATTAGTACGAATTTGTTGAAAAAACCTGATCTTATAGCTTAAAGATGTTCTGTATAAAACCAAAAAGCTTATACTCTTGAACTCCGCGATGATAGAACCCATCTATATTTATGTTAGTACACCTTACTTTGTTTTTAACACATTGTTGCAACACTTAAGGCCTGTTTCACTTAAGTAATAGTAACACAGCATAAATCGGTCCCGTAGCATCGACTTAATTAATGCTAACCAGTGCGAAGCAGTTTTTACATTCATTGTACCGCCATCTTCCCACGACCCACGACGCGTACATACATACATACTTATTATATGTATTTTTATTAGTAGTTGCCGTTTTTTATTATTCGGATGATTTTTAGTTATTAGCGTTATCTCATGAATTGTGTTACGTTGAACTTGATTCTTCAAACCTAGCGCGAGTTATTTCATTCGACTGGCATGTGTCCAGTGGTAAGTCATGTGTCTGCTAAGCTGCAGGTCGTAGTTTCGATTCTCACTCAGGTCAAAATAACTGTGTGATAAGCACAATCATATGTTCTGTATCTAAGTGTAATTTATTTACAATTTTTATATATTTAGAAATGTTTAAATATGCTTATCAGCAGTCTGGTGACCATAGCACAGGATCTGCCTAGTTTGGGATCAAACGGCCGTGAATTGGTGTCATTATTATTATATAGAAAATCACTATAGGTAATGGCGTTTTAGCAAATCTTAAGAAGTGTTAATGTTGATGATTGTCCCCCTGCGTCTGCTACAGTGTACCTAGCGTGTATGTCGGTTATCGAGGTAAAAAGTAGTATATAACACTCAGGGATAATAAACCTTCTACACAGTTAAACTATTTTCAAAATCGGATCAGTATTACCGGAGATTAACCCGAACATACAAACTCACAAACTTTACCTCTTTATAATATACGTATTAGTATAGATATATTATTAAAGAGGAAGCTCTCAATCGGGATGTATTTGTTAATGTTTGTTAAAGCAAAACATCATTTTTGAACTAATTTGGAAAGTTGTTTTTTAATTTTTTGACGGGCCTGTTGGTCTAGTGGTTAGTGACTCTGACTGTTAAGCCGGCAGTCGTGCGTTCGAATCCCACCCAGGACAAATAATTGTGTGATGAGCACGATCATTTGGTCTGTGTCTGGGTGTAATTTATCTATATTATGT